CTTAAATGGGATTGCTGAGATAATCACACTCTGCTGTTTCTGTTCCAGGGCAAATGTTAGGCATGAAATGTGAGTTGTCATGTTTGGAGCTCCTCTTTCAACGACCTGGCCAAAGCAACTACAAACATTCTGGGTTTTGTGAGGAGTCAGTTGTGAAGAGAACAAAAACAACAGCATCTTTCCATTTCTGTGTAGAGCTGCTTGGCATGGCTCTGTTGTGAATGCTGCGGCTCGGGGGGTATCACTGACTTTGCTGTCCCTTCAGCCATCCTGGACCATTCCTTTTGATGCTTGGCCAAGTCACAAGGTCTTGACTCATTTTTCCCTTGGTCCTCTATCTGTGGATCCAGGGGGTGTTTTGCTGATCGATGGCTGATCCATTGAGCCCAGTAAAAGCTGCTCCTCTGCTGAGGGTCTGCAACTGGGGTCTGCACCTCTCCCTGTCCCCTTCGGCTCCTGGCTCTCCCTGCAGAAGACACCACCCAGCTTTGCTGGAGCTGAGCTAGCCCCAGAGGAACAGCCAGAAGGAAAAAGCCTCTGCCTCAGCCCGCAGGCAGATCTGTGCCTGCCGTGGGCATATGTGGTGTTGGGGTGGAGTACGCTCCACCTGCCTCGAGGTTTGGCCTTTCTTTCCCCACTTCCCTGGGTCGCCTTTGCAGTGAGAGATCCCCCAAGACGGTCCTTTGAGGTCTAACCGACCTGAATGATTCCTACAGGTTACGTTGGTGCCGATAAGGAGCGCATGGGCTGGGGCTGTTCCCTGCAATTCTTTGCACTGTCGGGATGCTCCTTGCTCAGCTGGTGATATCTAATGCAAAGTGAGCTGAGCCTGGGGGCTGGCAGGTAAGACCCCTCCTATGCGGGTATCACTAGGGGAGAACAAGCACATTGTCATCATCCCTCTGCTTCAATGGCTCCAGAGGAGCAGGGCTTTCCAGGGGTGCTCAGCCTTCTCTCTGCTATCACCAGCTCAGAAAAAGGAGAGGCTGCTTTCTCTCTGACTTGCTGTGTCTTTACACAGAGACAGGATAGATACCAAAAAGGGCAGTCTGGGTGGAATTTCAGTACCTGCATTCAAACCCATGCATAGGAAATTCACCCACTTGGGAGACAACCTAGTAGGTGCCTGAATTCATTCAGCTCCCTCCGTTTGGACAACACAGATCCTAAAGAGAGACCTTCCAGGGGCATGAGGGCACCGGGCTCCTTCCTAAGCTCTGCTGCAGCCCAGATACAGGTGATGAGGCAGGAGCACATCTGCTGTGTGCACACACTGTCTGGCGTGGAGCTCAGGAGAGGCAGTCAAAAACTTGGTCAGCACTGGTTGTACCTTTGCAGCCCCCTCGGGGCAGTCTGGCAAGCACATACGGCTCAGGTAAAATATGCTGTGTGTCCTACTCCTGGCAGGAAGAAGCTCTGCAGCATTCATGCCTCTGCCTTGGCAGGGAGAGGTTGTGTAATGTTGGTCCTAGGTAGAGGGAGACATCACAGTGATAGAGGAAAGCAGGAGCTCAAACAAATCTGCAACTCCTGGTAGACCCCGACTTGTTCCATAGGGCAGACACCAAAATGCCAGGAGGGATGAAATACATTGAAACATGGGTAAAAACTGGCCAAAGAAGGATTTAGCAGAGGTACAAGTTGGAGGCTTCCTGAACACATGGTGAGCCCGGGAAGGTCCCCTCAGCATGGTGTGAGCTGCAGATGCACGGGCAGAGCACTGCAGAGGCTGGAGACAACTCGTGACATGTCATCCCCAGGCCCTGGTCAGGGGCCGGGCTGGGAAGCCAACGGATGCTCAGCTCCACCGGGTTGCCTTCTTCTGACAGTCTAACAAGTAGAAACGCTGAAGACACGAGGTGAGCTGAAAGAACATTTGTTTGATGAAGAACATTTCCTCTGCCAGCTTCCTTTGGCATATATCAAAAAAAAAAAAAAAAAAAAAAAAAGCATTTATGGATATTAATAGCAATAACACTTTGTGACGACGGGTTTTTCAGATCAATCTCTGTTTGAGGTCTAATGACGGCAGATGAATGTGCAAAGTTTGACAGGGCTGATTGTTGTAAATCTCGTGCTCTGGGGATCTGAGGAGGCATTAAGAAAATGGTGCTTCATTTGGGAAAGACGAGCTTTTAAAACGGTTTGAATAGGACCATTGTGGTGTCTCAGGCACTGAAAAGAAATTGGGTTGTATCTGCTGGGGAGACGCTGCAAGTTTGGTGATGAAATGTATTAATTTCTGCAGGAAACAGCAGAATTAAATCCCGCTTTAAGTGAAAAAGCCAGTTCAGCCTTAACTGTAAAGCTGCTAGCAATGACTCCACAATATATGAAATATAATAATTATGATAATTAATAAAGATAATAATACACTAAAACCTTGCTAATTCATACTAATGACTCAGAGGCTGCTTACTAATTACTGAATTTTGTGGATAAACAAGCCAGAATAATGCATCATAAAATACACTTTGTTCCATTATTTTGACAACTCTCGTTTAGTTTTAATTATTTATACTTCATAATATACTAGTCACTCTACTTGGGAGGGTTTTACAAAAATAATGAAGCTCTAATAATTTGACATGTCAGTTCAGTATTTGCTGAAACAGGGAGGGAGGAAAACCATCCCTTTCTGGATGTGTGCAAATCAGGAAGAACGCAGATCAGTTGAACACAGATCTTCAAAGTTGTAATGCAAAATATTATACATCTCTGTACTGCCTTTGACTGGGAGCCCTTGGAGCAGCTCGCCTTGTGGAGAACTCCTGCAAGCTGACCTGCTTCGCTGCTAAAGACAGGAGGATCGATGCTGATTCTCCAGAAAAATCATATAGTTTGAAAAATAATAATAAATGTGAAGTAGGTTTTGTGCCCAAATCAATTTTTATCCTCAAATCCATTTTTTTCCACCATCACGAGGGCTAAAAGCTTGTTTTTAATTTAAATGAGAGCTATGATTTTTACATAATCACTTGATTCCCAGAGCTGGCATTCCCTAGAAACCCCAGCCCGCCTCCCCCCTCATGAATTTGGCACGAGCTGGCCACACTCCTGCAATGAAAGAGGCTTGTGGAGGAACTCAGCATTTATTTAGCTCAGTTTTCCAGCTACAGAGAGTCCTGTAGGGTGCATGTTGTAACTGTTCCTCCATAGTTCTGATTTAAAAAAAAAAAAAAAAGGGGAAAAAAAAAAAAAAAAAAGCCATTTCCACCAGAGATTTGCCAGAAAACTGACTCTATCAGCCCTGTCCTTGCTGTCTGTGAGCATGTGGATCAGCTGTGGTAACTCACTGGGAGTGAAACAACGTACTGCAAAAACACTCCATATATAATATCACCTTCCACTGGGCTGCTTTTCGAAGGGGCCTGTTGTGAGAGGTGCAGAAGGGAGCAGGGGAGGCAGAGCTGGTGGTGGCGGGGCAGGAGGGGGAACCATCCCGCTCGGCCGCCGGGCAGGGCTCAGCCTGTCCACCTCGGAGCATCCTTCCTCCCCACCTGCTAGATTTGGGGTCCCCGTGCCCGTTTGCCCGGCGAGGCCCAGCCCGTGGGGAGTCAGACGGGCCTGGCAGGGAGGGGGGAGCTGCTGGTCGGCCGTGGATGGGTGCTGCCTCCCCAGTGATGGGGTCTGCAAAGATGGGGGGGTGCGGAAAGCTGGGCGGCCCCGGGGTGGTGGGGGGCTGGAGGTCCCCGAGCCTTGGGGAGCAGGAAGCCGACAGCGGTGTCAGAGCCTGAGATGGGGTGGGAGAGCGTGGGGGAGACGCAGGCCTGTCAGAGGGGAGGTCTGGGTGCTGGGGCCGTATTTAGGGTGGATCAGCATGATGGAAAGCATCCTACTTCAGGGGGGTGGGAACCCGGGGCTGAGCAGGGGGACAAGAAGGCTGCTTGGCCCCGTCCGGCGTCGGGAGGAGGACAAAACCGGGCACGGTGTTTCAGTGAGGGCTGGAGGTGGTGGGGCGGGGGGACACGGACACAGAGAAGCCGTGAGAGGGTCCCCGTAAGGGAGCGGGAACCGGTGTCACGCTCGGTCCCCCGGGCCGGTTGGCGAGGGGGGGCGAAGGGGGGCGTCCCGCTGGCAGCCGCCCCCGGGGAGGGGGTGCGTGTATGTGCGTGTGTGTGTGTGTGTGTGTGTGTGTGTGTGTGTCCCGCTGTGCCCCAGCCCCCGCCGGTGCCGGCAGCGGGGTTTGGGGGGGGGGGGAGCCGCCCGGCCCCGCCGCGAACAATAGCGGCCCCGGCGCGGGGCGGTGCGGAGCGGGGCGGGCCGGGGGCCGCCGCCCGCCCCCCCGCCGCCGCCGCCGCCCGCCCTCTCCCCGCCCCCCGCGCCAGAGGCACCGCCGCCGCCGCAGCCGGGTCCATGCCCGCTGGAGCCCCCGCCTGCCGCCGCCCGCAGCCCCGGCATGGACGTTAGGTTTTACCCCTCCGCCCCCACCGCCGTGGGCTCCCTGCCCGGCGCCGACCCCACTTGCCTCGGGCCGCTGGATTATTATCACTGTAACAAGGTACCAGGAGGAGGGGGGGGGGGGGTGCCCGGGCAGCTCCGCTCGGCGCGTCCCGCAACTTCTCCGCGGGTGGGGGGAGGTTGGGGGATTGGGGGGAGGAAGGAAAGTGCCGGAGGCGCCCGGCTCCTGCGGGAGGGAATTTTGAAAGTGGTCTGGAAGCGGAGCGGGGGGAGCGGAGCCCGGGGCGCTGCGCGGCGGGGCGGGCGGGACGCGGCCGGGAGGGGGGCGCGCTGGGGGGAGCGCGGCTCTTCGGGGCTGTTTGTTTCCCGGTCCGTTGCGAGCGGAGGGTTGAGTTCATATTTTTTCCTTATGGGAGCGTTTGGCCCGACCCGACGCACTCGGGGTTTCGGTTGTTGCGGTTGTTAGCGGGCACTTTGGTGGTTGTTTGCGGTGGTTTTTTTTTTTTTTTTTTTTTTTGCACCGTCTTCGCACGGCTGCCGAGCCGTTGGGCTGGGGTCGCTGGCTCCTCTCGGGTGGGGGTCTCTTCCCTCGGCCCCGTTCCCCCGCTCCCGCCAAGGGCGGCACCCAGCCCGCGTCTGGTGCGTGGGTCCCCCGGGACCCACGGCGCGGCGGGGAAAGCTCCTTAACCTGCATCATCCCCGCTGGCTGGAGCTGCGAGGCAAAGCACCGTCTGCTTGTGAGGAGAGCGGGACGCGCCGGGGGAGCGCTGAGGGCGCCGGAGGTGCTGGAGGAAATTTCCTTCATCCGAGAGAAAACGAAGTGAAGGGGATGGATGCGGTACTTCGGGGATACAGAGCCCTCCGTGGGTATCGCCTTCCTTGCGTGTGGGTGAAGAGCGGTGGTGGTTCGGCAGCAAAGCCGTAGGAAGCGGACCCGTTTGGAGGGGGGAGGATCACTGATAAGATCCGAGATAGAACCCTGGCTGCGTCCTCCTGGGCCAAATTCGGGTAATTGCATTGGAAAAAAGTTAATAAAGGGAGAAAATGTTCTCCTGCGTCGGGACTGCAGCTCAGGATGCCCTCGGCTCATCTCGCTGTTGCAATACTTTGGGATCCAACTCTTTAGAAACAAGCCGAGGGAAACCTGTCTGGCTTCCCAGATGCAGCAGATTAATCTCTATGTATCAATGTATGGTTTTAACTGTTCTCTGTCATTTGGTTTGTTTCTCTCTTTTTATTAAGTTGTAGCAAACCTAATAGTTCTCATTTATTTTGAGATGCCTGATTATGCTGAAAGGAAACAAATTGATTTCTTCTGTATCCACGTACTGCTAGTTTCAAACTGTTTTATTATCATTGCCGTTGCTCTTAAAATGCTAAATACGCTCTTAAAATACTAACGAGAGCCGTGTCACCTGGGAGCAGGTCATCCGTGCCACGGAAACATCTGCCGTTGGGTGCAAAAGTGTGCAAAAGATGAAAGTCTGGGATCATGTGAGCCTGTGCCGCTGGAAACTGCGGCAACCCCCGGATCCTGCTGTCTTTAGGAACTCGGGTTTACCAAGAAGTTGTTAGATGTGAACATGATTTAGTTTGCCTTTTGTTTTTTCCCACGGGAGCTGGGGCTCGGTCGTGCACGCCGCGCCGCAGGCCCTGGCCGTGGGGCTGCGCGGTGCCGCTGTCCCCCCAGTAGCGCCCGCCAGAGCCTTGGGGTGCGGGGGGCCCCACGTCGGCACCGGCTCATCCGTGGCCTGAATCCCTGAGATTAGTCCCGGATTAGGCGGTCGCAATCGATCCGCTGGTCCTGGCAGTGGCGCGGCGCTGGGGCCGGCCGGGCTGGGGGAAATCGCCTCTGCTGGGTCTCCGGGAGGACCAGGGGAGGGGGAGTGGGTGAGTTTGGGTGCTGGTGCTGGCCAGGGTGGCTGGGACACCGGGGAGGAGCACCCCAGGTGCTGACCACTGCCACCAGATGCTGCTGTTGTCCCTGCTACAGAGGATCCTAAGGCAGCGGGAGGAAGAAAGGAAGTGACTTACCCTTTTCTGATATTCAGGGCTCTTTTTTTTTTTTTCTTCTTCTCTTCTGAGTTATCAAATGTCATTTGCTTATGCACAGTGGTGCACGTTTGTCTGTGGGATGCGGCTGCTGGAACGAAGCCAGAGATGAAATAGGTTGACTTTGTTTTCCTGGCCAAATACAGGTGTAATGGTCGCAACTTCAGCATCAAAACGTGGCCCAGTGCGGAGCGGGCGGAGGTATCGTGTGTTGCCTTTGCTTTGGAGAACTCCCCCAGCCGGTGTGGGGTGCCGTGTGGCTGAGGATTGCCACCGCCACGCTGGTACCTTGTGCCTGTATGGAGAGCACTGTCTGAGCACACCCGTGTCCTGGAGCCACGTGGGACCCTCCGGGGAAACTCCAAAAACTCACACTGGTCCCAGCTCCGTCGCTCCTGTCCAGTGCTAGTGGCTAAGACAGTGTCTGCCTCAAAACATTTCCACTTTAAAAAGCTACAGGGGAGGGGAGGGTGGACTGGAAAAATCAGAAGTTCTCCTACGATTGCACGCAGGTATCCCGGATGAATTCCATCTTTAGGAAGGTCCTGGGTAAGGAGCACTTACAGGCTCTTTGCTGTCCTCCTGCTTTGCTGAGTTTATGGAGGGGCTTTAAGGCCCTTTAATTTAAAGGGGCTGTTTTGTTCAGATTTGGCTTCCCCCCCCAAGGTCTGCTTCGTTTATTTATTTATTAAGGAAGGAGGCAGAGGAGCTGGGAAAGAGTGTGCAGTGTCACTGTGTATAAATAACTTGCTGAGAGCACGGCAGAGCTCTGCCTGTGCGCCCATCACCAGTGAGCTTGCCGGGTAGATGTGCTTTAGCCCAAAGCATCCTGAAATGTTAATGTAATTGTTTTGTGCACTTACTGAACATGATATTGTTACGGTGAGGTCTCTGATCTCGCCTGCATGCTGCAGCAAGACACAATTTCTCTTTGTAGCTATGGAGGTGCCTATTGCATATCAGCATTTCCATTTTTAAAAGGACAAGGGATGTTTAGAGGGGTAATAAAATGGGAGCGTACGTTCAGCTGAAGCCTCCCCACAAAGGGGGCATTTGCGCCCTTTCTTTAACAGCTTCTGTAGCATCCCTGTATTTCCTCAAAGGGCTGGCCACTGGCAGGGACTGCTGGTGGGGGGCGAGGGGCTGGACACCCATGGGTGGAGAGCAGGGTCCCTCATGCCCTGGTAAGCAGGGTTAGAAGGAGCCTTCCTCCCTGCTGACTGCTTTTGGTGAGGAGTTTTTATGCATTGGGCATGCTGGTAGCATTGAAGCAGGGGAAAAAGGGCTCCCCATGTAAACCTGTCTCCATCCCAGGCGATCCCACATGGAGCAGCTTGCTATGGCAACTGGGAAGCAGAACCAACCCCAAAACTTCCCAGTGCCCAGGCAGCTGCTGCTCGCAGCCTGGAGGACCGATGCTCCTTGGCAGGATTTTTAGGGTTGCACTGGGCTCAGCTCAAAGTGCAAGGGCAATGAGGAGCGACACCTTTCCGGAGCAGCCTAACAGCCTCCCTAGGGCACGTTGCAGCAAGCGTTTCCCCCGCCGGGGTGCTGGCTCCTTGCCTCCTTCCCGTGGGCTGGATCCAGGACCTGCTCCCTCGCTGGGACTGCACAGAAGAAACTCCCCTTGTGCGTTAGGTTGTGTCTGCACAGCAGCCACGAGGGACTGGAGAAGTTCAGCTGAAAGTGGTACCGTGTCTTCAAGGAGCCATCATCAGAACTGTGATAGCCATCTGTCACCGGTCACCTGAGCCCCACTGAAGGGAGCACCTACCTCTGTTTCAGATTCCTCTTTTAAATCTGGGTCTAAAGCCTCCCTGGCCTTCTTCCTGGGCCATTGGTACCTGCCGCAGACCCTGCTCCTGCTCCCTCGCTGGGGAAGTGGGGCTTTCACGGTGTCTCGCTGCTGCCTGGGTGTTGTGATGGTGGTGTCGGGGGGAGGCAGCTTGTTCCTGCACCACGTGAGGGGATTGTTGGTCTCTGGTGGGGTATTTTCACAACCCTCCAGTTGCTTCATGAAAACGTGGGGAATTTTCCCACTTAAAATCTAGGGAGACTCTTTTGCATCTGTACTTCACAATAAGTAAACCTTACAGTTTAGTAACACACGGGCTCATTCTGCTCTTAGCAAGGCTTTAGTGGCAGGAGCTGGTGTGCTGGATGATGTACCACCATGGAAGGATTTTCCCAGATCTTAAATTGTGTGGGCCCACAAAGTACCGGAGGGAGTGTTTCCTTCTTAGCCCAGGCAAAATTGCTTTTGCAAGGGAGGCATATGGCAGGAATCCTGCCTGAGCACGGTACCATGTGCTCGCTCACGCAGTGTAAGCAGTGATGCTGTGCTGTGATGCACGAGGAGTGATCCTGCTCCTTACTCCCTAGGGGCAACTTTGGAGAGTGAATGAACATCTCCCTATTCTTCCTGCAGAAAGAAATTTAAATATAAATTCTTCTTAGTTGCTTCTGGTGTTTGATGATGAGACTTGTTAGCACGATGCCTAATTTCCATTTAGGGCAATGATTGAGGAGGAGGAGGACGACCCAGCCTGGGAATACCTAATCCTTGCAGAGCAAGCACACGGCTGTGGCACTGGGAGTGCCCATGGTCCTTGGGAACCTCCAGCATCTCTGGCAGTTAATGGGAGATACGTGCTGGGGACCCCTGTTAACCCTGTGGCATTTCTGTAGGATTCAACAGCACCATCAAAACTTGTCCCAAATCTTCATAATAGGGCTCCGTGGCTTTGCATCTCCAAACACACCCTGCATCTTGCCTTTTAGGCTGATAAATTGACAAAAACTATTTCACCAATACACCATCATAAATTATGGATAAATTAAAATCTGCTAGTCATGAGATGAGTATTAATCTGCAACCAATGCTATCTTCTTTTAAGAACCCTTCAGAAATGGGATCTGAGCTGCTAGTATGAGCGTGGGTCGATGTAGCGAATGCATTTCTGTGGAACATTCTTGTTTTGTTTTGACTTTTACCATAAATCGTACATTGCAGTGATAAACACAGTCCCTCTTTCATCATTCCAGAACTGCTTTGCCATTCTGGAAGATAAAATATATTCTTTTCCTTTCTACTTTCTAAGCCAACTCTGTTTTGAAGTAGCATAAATCTTTCTTTGGAGATGGAGGATTTTGGATGGAGAACAAAGTCCAGCAGATTTTTCATTTGGGGCCCATTTTATTCTCATTTGGCAGGCAGCTCCTGTTGATTTGCAAATGTGGATTTTTTTTTTTTTTTTTTTTTTTTAAGGCCCTGAATATGGGCAAGGGCTTCCTCTGAAAAGTGTTTGAGCTACTCAGTGGGACAACCCTGCGTTCTCCAGAGCAATCTTTGATGGGTTGCATGGCAGAAAGTGTTTGAAGCTCCATTTTGCCTTGGGCTTTAAGTCAGGGATTGGAAGCTAAATAATGAATGTCCACCCATTCATAGAAATTGTTGTTCTCTGTGTATGTGCAGAGGGAAGGCTTTAATCTGGTTGTTTTTGGAACAATGGGAGATATTTTGGAGACCGGTCTGACTTTGTTGTATGTGTTGTTTGGGGCTCATTCTGAATAACCTTGTAAGGGGCCTCATCCGTGAAAGTCCTTGTAGCAGAGGGACATCAAGCGACCAAAAATTCAGGATCAAAATCTTGCAAGTTTTCTTGATTTATTTATGATGCTTCAAACTGATTATAAATATTGTCCCCTAAATCAGTGGTCCAAAGCCTATTGTGTGTTATACCACTCTAACCATGGGGTAAATCCATGAACAGCTCTGGAATTTTACCCCTGAGCTTGCAACAGGCACCGGGATCAGTTTGTGCACCCATAAT